TTCTTTTTCAGCTGTTGATAATTCACCTTTTCAATGGCTAGACCAGAAGATTCATATAGGAGGAGTCCTCATAGTAGCTTTCATTACCTAGGCAGTTGATAACAATTAGCCTGTAACTAATTGTTTCCAGCTGCTCCCCTTTGATTAATAAATCAAAACAAATGTATTACAGTTCTCCTGTGGTTTGGTATTGCTGGGAGCCAGAAGCCTAGCATGCCTGAGATGAAGACAAGGTGACTATGCTTGCTTAAAAGTCAGAGGAATAAGAACTGGAGTGACCAAAACAAGTTAGCATAGGAGGATAAGGTGGGATTTAAAGGACAGATAGCAGAAAAATTATTTCAGGCCCAGATAAAAAGAGCAAAGGCATGGTAGAGTCAATTTCTGGCTCTGATTTCTCTTTGCGCACCCTTCCCCACAATATTCCTCTTACAGTGTTTTATCTTAATAGTATTTGCGATGCCACTACTTATGATAATTATATAAGTACTTAATTGATGATAAATAACCCAAATAAGTCCTAGGCCTCACTTGGACCAGTTTTGGGGTAGTATTGCATTCAGAGAAAGAACCTTACAACCCACAGTAACACTTCTGAAAGTCGCCTGCCCTATTCCTCTAGGTCTCTGTTTAGCAACTGCTTAAAAGTCCCTCACTCTTTCCACTTCTCATCGTCCACTGGTATCAGGGTTGCATTCAGCTGTAAGGAACTGAAACCCGGATGCACGTGTTTAACAAAGTGGAGGTTTTATTTTTCTCATGTAACCAGAACTCCAGAGGTAGGCAGTTTCGGGCAGGTATAACTGCTTAAGGAAGCATCAGGGACCCAGGCTTCCTTTAGCTTCCACCTTTTGCAAAATGTCTCTTTCACTTCCAGGCTTTGAATCTGTGTTCTTGGCATGATAGAAGAAGGAAAAGCAAAAGACAAAAGCCACATGCTGTTGCTGGCATGTTGGGCACTTGGTGGCATCAGTACCTAGATCAGCCTTGTTGAGTGGGAGCCCATGCTACTCTGTGCTTGCATTCTAATCTCTGTCATTCCCCTAGGGATGCCAGTTTTTTAAAATTTAGACTCTTGGCGGGGTTAGGGGATGCAGTTTCTGAAGCTTCCACTCGGCCTTCTCCACTGTGACAGCTCTTACCCCAGAGGTCAAGGAACTAACGTGGCGATTCTGCTAAATATTAAGTTTGTCCATTCTAATTTTACATTTGGGAAGGACTGGAGGGCTCATCAGTATATACATTTGCTGGGAATCTAGTCTTCATCAGTCATTAGGTTCTGGAAGTTGGCTTAGGTCAAGAAACAGGGCAAGGCGTTGTGACTTTACTGGGGTAGCTTCTCTCAGCTGCCTCCTAATCCTTGAGCTTTAAAAACTACACATTGAGGGCTGATTACTGTGGCTCACACTTATAATCCTAGCACTCTGGGAGGCCAAGGTGGGAGGATCACTTGAGCTCAGGAATTTGAGACCAGCCTGAACAAGTAAGACTGAGGAGGCCTTCTTGGTTACAACTCATAACAATGCCACTCGATCTTGCTTGTGCTGGTTAAGCACTGCCATCTGGTCTCTGTTTCTCCAGTATCCTATCAGGTCCGTTGCTGTCAGGGACCCTAGCTCTGTAACATCTTCTACCATCAGTAGTGGGGTGTTAAGGTTTTCAAGTGCATTCAGTCCCCATCCAAAGTGTCAGGGTCCCAGTTCTTCTCAACTATGGCCCTGACCTTGACATAGCAGACTCGTCAGGGCTGAGAACATTCTGGAGTTCTGCTGCTATTATAATTAAGTCCTGGGCCTGATCTTCAGCTTTTTCTCCCTCTACCCATTATATGCTGCTAAGGAGGCACTCTGGCTCTCATCCTTAGCCTTTAATTGGTGATTAATCATCCTCAACCTTTCATTGTTTTTCTTCAAAGTATAGATTTACTCCATCAATAGCCATCCAATTCCATTGTTTTTAAGTTACTATTTTCCCAATATTTTTAAACTGCCAGATGGATTCTACCTACCAATGCATTCTTCTACTGGGATTACATCCCATCCATCCCAGCCCGTCACCATTGTTGAAAGTTTTGACACTGTACTGCCAGGGCCTCTCAGGGTTTCATCTGAGGGGCTCACTACCGGCTGGCCAGGGGGTGATTTAGGGCCATTGGATCAGACCCACTTATGGGACTTATTGCCCTTGGGATCAACATTGTGCAGGAGTGAATGGGAAAGGATGGGGCAGAAAGAGAAGTTGAACTAAATGCAGTCCCAGCAAATGTCAGGGCAAGGGATAGCCTTTCTCTTGAGAGCTGATTCCGTAAGGGAGCTCTGGAGGGAGGAAAGCCCCTCAGAGGAGTCTTACTCCTCTCCTGGGGAGTGGCATGACCTGGTGGGAGGGAGCTGTCTTTGGCTGAGGACAAGTCCTGGAAAGGGATTCAGCTGATAGCTGTAGGCCACTAACGCTCCCAGCAGCTGGGTAAGTGAGCATCTGAGTCCTGAGGAGCCATGTGCTCTTTGGTATGCTGGGGTGGTTGGCTGTGCCAGTGGGGATGGGAATGGTGGTGGGTAGAATGGAGCGAATACTGCTGGAACTAGACTCTTGGAGAAAAAACTTGGCAGAGATAGTTGCCTGACCAAAAAACAGGATGAATGAGAGAGAGAGTTGCATTTAAAACTATATATACCAAACACTAATAGTTCCTTCAGTACTCTTGTGTTGGATAGTGCAGGATGGGGGAAGTTAAGATACAAACTCTGAAGCTCATGCCTTTTGACTCCACTAGAGCTAGTCAAACTGGTGTTCCATGGGCTAAATTCAGACAGCAGACATATTTTGTTTGGCTGCACAGCATTTTAAAAAATGTGAATTGGCTGCCACTATGTAAAAATTGGGAGAGTTTACACATAAGTTCAGCTCTCCAGCTTCTCTTGAGTAACTGAAAGATCTAGCAACACTGGGTCAACATTCCAGCATGGCAGTAATTGACTGGAGTTGAGTGACAGCTGCTCTCTTAAATGGAGGTGGTATATGCTCCTTAGTTCGCCACAGTCTCTATGCGTTACCTTCTTTGGCATTTTTGTTTAGAATTCGTGCCACATTACGTACTACCTAACAAAGTACATGGTGTATAATAGGCATTGGGACACTTAATATTGGTTCGACAGAATTGAATGAAATTATTAATTAAAGAGGAAGTTGGGTGAATTCTGGATCTCCAACTGTAATGAGAGGCTTGGCACTCAGGGGAGGCAACGGGACAGCGAGTACAAATTAGGATGAATTAATGACATGCTGGCCAGAGCCTGAATTAAAAAAGAAGAGCAGAGCGCTGTGGCCTAAAGTTTGGGTGTTTTATCCCAGAGTTAGAGAGGAATGGGGGCTCATGGAAGAAACCAGACAAGGAGAGGAAAGAGTCACAGAGGGAGGCAACAAGGAAGGAACTGGGGACCTTCAGAAGAAGTATGAGAGAAGGAAAGGAAGGCTGTGGATCTGGAAGTGTAGCAGTAAGCAGAGGTATTGGAACACTATCTGTGGGTGTCAGTGAGAACTTTTTCCAGGGGGGTTCTAGTTGGGGAAAGCATAGATGGACATTCATTTAAGATTCATCCTTTTCTTTCCAGCATTGTCATCATTCTGACATCATCTAAAAGAAATTAGTCAGTATCAATATCCATATTGCATCCTTAAAGAATAAGGGACCGGAGAAATGTCCAAACTCTGTCCTTTTGTTCTAGCAGAATAAAACATTCATTTAATATGTATTCTGGACAATCACCAACCTACAGAGATTGGAAACTTCCCTCATGGATGTATCTCTCTTTACACGAGCTATTGGTTTTGTGGATTTTCTGTGGTAAAATTAAAATTCTAGTTCCGTTCTGCCTTATCACCCAGTTAGTATCTTTCTGTGTGGCCTAACTGGCTGATTAGTGTGTGCTCAGAATGTGTCAACTCATTTTAAAATTAGCCTAAGTAAAATGTATTGAGGAAGATAAATTTTAAAATAACCCATCCCAAAGTCCAATGTCAGATATAGATAGATCATCTGTAGTTTTGGATGCAATCCTCTTCCTGCAAAACCAGCACAACTAATTCCATGCACAATCCTTTCAAATCTGGTACTGGGGGCATCACGAAGGACTTTGTTTTAGGAGGGCCATAGTTTGTCTCTCTTGTCTTTGGAGTTAAACCACGTACATTTGCATCTTGACTCTGCCACCTGTGAACCCTGTGACCTTGGGCAAATCACGGAATTCATCAGTTAGATGAGGATAATGATATCTATTGAGAAGGTTCGTTGAAAGGTTTAAATGAGATGATGAATGTGTTGAATTAATAATGTATGCGAGGCCCTTAAAGGCTTTTTGAGGATGGTGAAACTTGAATCTGTCATCAACTGTGCAAAAGTTATATTAACTTGAGTGCCTATCAGTTTAGAAGAGGAAGGATGGGCTTGGATTCCAGAGTCTGAGTTATTTTGATTGCCATTGGGTCTAGCATTGGTATTTAAGCGACCTTAAAAAAAAATCTCTCTTGACCTTTTTTTTTTTCTTTCTTCTCAGCATTCTATAGTAGCTACAAAGGACCAGGAAATCTGAGATCGTGTGCCTTATTTTTGTGAGAACTTAAGGCAGAGAGGGGCTGAGCACAGCCTCCCCGGGAGATAAGTGGCGGAGATCTACGCGCTGGGAGAAATGCTAGCCCCAGGGCGCCCTAACTTCCAACTCTGAGCTATCCAAGCCCGGAGGCCGGCGGGGGAAGGGCAGCCCGAGGTGGCGGTGGGGATGGGAGCGGATGTACCGGGGTCAGCTTCCACTCTGGCGGGCTGTGCCCAGCGCCAGTCTAGGTGAGCCCGGAGGCGCGGAAACGCGCGCCTCCCGGCCCCGAGGAGTTAGGTGACGTCACCTCCAGGAGGGCTCGCTTTTTCATTAATGAAACCGGCCGGCGCGGGCGCATGCGCGGCAGGCCCCCTTCCCTCTCGCTTCCCCCTCCTCTTTCCCAGCCGCGCTCTCAATCTCTAGCTCGCTCGCTCTCCCTCTCCCCGGGCCGTGGAAAGGATCCCACTTCCGGTGGGGTGTCATGGCGGCGTCTCGGACTGTGATGGCTGTGGGGAGACGGCGCTAGTGGGGAGAGCGACCAGGAGGCCCCCCTCCCCTCCCCCGGGTCCCCCTTCCCCCGCCCCCCTCCCCCCAGCCTCCTTGCCAACGCCCCCTTCCCCTCTCCCCCTCCCGGCTCGGCGCTGACCCCTCATCCCCACCCCCGTGGGAACGTTCGGAGCCTGCACTCCTCAGACCCTCTCGTCTCCTCTTCCCTCACCTCAGCCCCCGCTCCCCGCCCTCTTCTCGGCCCAGGGCGCCGGCCGACCCTTTCCTCCGCCGCCCCCCGGCCGCGGGGAGGACATGGCCGCGCACAGGCCGGTGGAATGGGTCCAGGCCGTGGTCTGCCGCTTCGACGAGCAGGTAACGGGCCTGTGGCGGGCGGGAGGTGGGAGCGGAGTGGGGGTGGGGACGGAGTGGGTGAGGGGAGGAAGGAGCGGCCGCCTCCCCCGCGGCTGCCTAAGGCTCTGGAGGAAAGGAAAGGAAGGGAAGGGGGGATAAGTGGGGATGGCCAAGGGGGGAGGTGCGGGGAAGGAGAGGACGGCTGGGAGCTAGGGCTCCCCTTCTCTCTTAAGTTGGGGGGGTGGGGCCTTGTCCCTGACCAGCCCCTCCGACCCTCCATCCCCTTTATCCCAGCCCTTCCGCCTCCTAATAGGGATGAGTGACCTGGGGCGCTTTCAGGGGCGCTCCATCTGGATTTAATCATTACCCCGTTCCTTTTTTCTGTTTTTGAACAGAGGTGGGTTAACATTTAGGGGTTCCCTCTTCCTCTTCCCTCCGTGACTCTCCTAACTGGACGCGAGTAACTGAAGGAACCCTAAGGCCCGTCTTGTGTACCCCCAATAGGAGAACGGTAACATTCTGCCCCTCCCCCAGTTTCTTCAGCTTCCTCTCTTGGAGGGGGAAGAGTAGAAGAAAGCAGGGAAAGCACAGGTTTTCTTACTTTTTGCTCCACGGTCTCAGCCTGCCCCAAGAGCTCAAGTGCACACACACACACTGCACATCTTTTTGATGCCCCACACAGATGTCCCCCCATATTCCGATGACACAGACTGCCGTTTTCATTGCTATTGCAGTGGAAACCTCGGTTCTCAAATATTTCCCCCTTTTTTCCGTCCTTGATAATTGCATCCCCCCCTTTTCTTGCCATCGGTCTGAGGATGTAAATATTGTATTTTTGAGTGAGAATCTTGAGGAGTAGGGGGAGAATGGTGAAAGGAAAGTGGGAAACTGCATCTGAGCCATTGACAACAGAAAGGAAAGACAGCTGGGATGTGGTTCTGGAGCCGATAATTCTCCTAGTGTTTGTTGTTTTTGACTCTCCTCCTGCTTGACAAGAGAACTTTCATTGAGAATATTTGGGATGGAAAAAAAGCTTCATAGCTTGGGGAGGTGACTTTTTATCCCCTGAGTTTTACACAATAAATCCTGGGGCTGATCAGAATGAATGCACACATAGCCTTTTGTCAATGGGAATTAGTTTAACTTTGTATTGCCGTAGGTAGTTGGGATTGGTTTAAAGGGATGTTTTTTGCAGCTGCAGTTCTACCATGGGCTTCCTGTGATGAGAGAATTGTTTAAAGATTAAGTCAATCTATTTTGTTTATTGGATATAATCGTAAAACTGATTATGGGAGCTGAAGGGATGGGGGAAGGGTTCCACTTTTATTTGATCCATACACATTTCCTTACAGGACTCAAAGTGTTTCAGATTGCCTGAAACTTATTTGGGAATAGGCAGAGGAAGTTAGAAGAAGCTTATATAGATAAAATAGAATTATGAAACTGTCAGAGACTTAAAGGAGTTGTTTCATCCATCCTTCTGTTTCTAGACCAAAAGGCATCTAAACCAACTGTACTATTAATCCATCGGATGAAGTAAAATGTTACTGCATATAGTAGATTGCATTATTGATATAGCATTAGATTTAAAACTTGATAGAAAAGACTTTCTCTGGGTAATTTAAAAAAAGGAGTTAAAAGGCACATAGAAGAACTCCACAGGTAAACCTTGTGGACAGCATAATCTGGACATAGGAATTTGAAGGATTCATGCCACGATTCTTCCCAATTTTTAAAAATTAAAAAAAAACTTTCCAGTTATTTTTAAATTTTATTTCTTCACTTCTTACCTGTTCATCTCTAGGCTTGTTTACCATATCAGAAAAAGATAGTTCTCTAAATTTTAAAAGAGGAATGATTCTGATAATATGCCCAGTAATTCAGGAACATATTTCTTCTTCCTTCCCCACTGTTAAAAGACCTTCGGCTTTGTTGTTTGCTTTGTTATGTACATTGTGGAATCAAACCCACTACCACCATCTGTTAATAATTAAGGACATAAGTGTTTAAAACAGCATTTTAATACATTCCTTACATTGTAATTAAGAGAAGGATACATAGGACAAATTATTCCTCACATTTTTCTTTCACAAGGTTAAAGTCCACTGACTTTGAGATGCAGAAGGGTAAGGGTTTTTAGCGTTGAACATAAAGTACTTATATAGGTTAATTTATTATAGAAGTAATGTTTAATTCAAATTAGAGTTCATCTTAAGGTTGGAAATGTCTATTTTTAGTGGAGCATGGAGAGGTTAAGTGACATAGCAGACCTAATAACAAGAGCCTCAGTATGAAAAGTAGTAAATGCTGGACTATCAGGGGAATACTTTTCCTAAGTATCCCATAGAATTTGTTTTAATAATCCATTAAATATAATTAGAACAGTTTACAATTTTTTTTGAGGAGAGAAAAATCCCTGCATGTACTGAGAGACATTTGTATAAGAATCTTAAGTGTTTCAACTCCTTAGAAAAGTTTTCAATTTTGAAGATCATGTCTATACTTTGTTTTACTGGGGATAGAGGGAGTTGAGCCTTTCCCTTTTATTATAACTAAGATGTGTGCCTGTTCAACCACTTCAGTCCCCAGGGACCATGTGCATGTGTAAAGATGGCAACTGTGTTTATGATTGAATTGATGTTTTGGTTGGACTTCTAATATTTGATGTGATTAAAGAAGAAATGCATTACTAGCCACTGCCAATTATAGACATATTGAACTCTGACGGATATTGCTTAGCAACTTAGCGCAGTAGACCCAGTTAAAAGAAGTGGTAGCATTCCATCTTGACGTTTTGAGCTCAAATCCTTATGGGTAAAATAAAATTTCTATAACCTGCTGATATTGTACCTAAACCTAAAATTTATGACCTAAGTTCAATGAGTGTTACCAATTTTAGAAATAATCCCTTCCTTGATTAGGGAGATGACAGTTGCAAAAGTGGACAGCCAGAAAGCTGAATGTATCAGTTACATCTTGTGCCTCTCCTTAACTTGCCTTTATGATGCCAAATAGAAAGTTTCTAAATTGAAACTGGCAGATTTTAGGTGTGTACCTTTAACTTGCGGTTCATTAGTCCAGTTTCTTAACAAGTTAGAGCCTTCTTGCGTATGTCACTTAGCTCTGTTACCCCACCAGTCCCTGTAGAGCTTTATTTCTGAAAGGAAGTAAGGGGAAAGTATGGATATTTGAAATTTTTTTTAAAAAAAAAAGAAATAGAAAAGTCACCCCAAACGGTATGTTGTAAATATGTTCATTTAAAGCAATTATATTTTCCATATCTGGTCAAGCAAAAGCAGTATATAAAAGCCAAAAAAATAACATTTTAAAGAACATGTTATATCATAAACTGATTTTTAAAATTTGTAATACCCTATTGGTTATTCTTATACATCGAATGTTAATTTGGAATATCCTTTGAATATGTGGTGTAAAATTCACAGTATAAAATGATTGGTAAATGTCTTTGGAGTTGCAAACCGTATGCTAATTGGCTAAGTAGTTAGATTTGTAAAACTTTGAAGCTATTTTGGATTTTTAAAAAAATCTCCTAGGCTCATTCTTAAAACCTGGTCCGCAATTTTTGTAAGGCCTTATAATAAGTTGAAAATGAATACTCTTTTGTGGTGAGGGATATTTTATGGTGAGTGAGAAATAATGCTTATGCTTTATTTTAGAACTCATATTTTTAAAAAATTTCCTCCAGCTGGTCCTCAATTAAGTCTCTGCACCCCCTTCCACTCCCCATCTTGTCTAGGATCTGATTTAGTCTTTACATGAGCGTCTTCCTTTTTACCTTCAAACTTACTTAGATTTCCTTTCTCTTCTAAATCAAACATTTACTTGGTCCTGCACTTTCTGTCTGTGGACCAATCCTTTTTTTCCTTTTGTTGCCAGACACCCGCTGCCTCTGCTGTTTCCTTTATTACTCTGAAAATTAGCTTCTGCCTCTGATTTCCTCCTGGATTGCTGCATTCTTGAAAATGATTCCTTCTGGCAAAACCTAGTGGTCTTTGTTCAATTGTAAAGCCACTGTGATGTTCCACTACCCCTGGAACCAGTCTCTTCTAGTTCCCAAGACACAATACTTTCTTGTATGTATGTTTGCGGGTCCTTATACTATATTGATGTTCTCACTGATCCTTGAACACATGTGCCTTCTCTGTTATACCATGCTGCCTGTCACTGAATTGGAGTTCCTAAACAGTGGTCTCAGTTCTGTTTTGCTGTTCATTGGCTCTGTCCCTATGCTAGCCATTAGCTCTTATACATCCTAGATTTCCCCATCTGTTGAAAAAGAATTGACTAGAAAGTCTTTAAAATTCTTTCAAATTTAAATATTAAATGATTTTAATGTTTTAATAGTTCTGACACACGACAGTCTATTGGGAGTTTACCCCACCTAATTTACCAAGCTATTTCTCATTATGCCTCAGCATGCGTCTATGTTCCAGGCAAGTGGGCCCAGTCTCTTCTGTATATATCATGCTTCATTCTTGCTTCTTGACCTTTGTTTATGTTGGTCCCTGTTTGAATGCTTTAATTTCTCCTTTGTGCTTTTCTAATTCCTGTCCATTCTTCAATGTCCAGCTCAAAATTTGTTTCTTCCCTGAGATCTTTTTAGACTAAACTCACTGCTATCTTCTTGGTATCCTTGTCACCTGAGGTTTTATAGAACCACACTGTAAGGTTTCTTACCTTAGGAGTGTTGGTTGAACACAGCTTAGCTTTGTTTTCTTTTCTCTTGTCTTTTTATCAAATAGAGTGTAAACTTTCTGAAAAGCAAGAAGCTGCATAAGAATTCTCTTGTGCTCACTCCAGTGCCTGGCACAGTTACAAGCACACAGAACATCATTGATGGAATGTTTTTCATATGATTCCTGGTTGAAGGGTAGACTGGCTAAACAGTGGTAATTTTGGCTTTGTTGTAAATGTAAATAACTGTCTTTTACTTCCATGTTTGTAATAGCCTAGGTTTTATAAGTTAAGTGATATTTTAACCAGCAATGGGTTAAAAAAAA